ATCTCTAATATTTGATAACATGCAAAACAAAAAGCGCAAAATAAATGGTAGTGCTTTGCTGTTTACTGCAGGACAAAAAAGATCCCTTCATGAAAACTGTGAATAGAATCTTCCAGTCTATCATAGCTGTCCATTTTTTGAAGGGATTGGCTTTCAAAGGGCCTTCTTTATGGTAGTATTCTATGGTCCCAATTCCAAAAAAACAAGAGGGAAATAATTTATTAATAATTGAGGGACATGCATATCATTAACAATAACGTATTAAAAAGAAAAAATCATACTCCATTTTCACCTAGTCATCAGGAAGAAATTGGATCAATTACAATGTTTCAATTGTCATTGTACTAAAATGGATTCAGATATGACATCTATTACTTATGTTACTATGTATGTTAGCAGCTTCTGTGTAGTTGGTGTAAGTTCCTAAAAGGTGTCCGGCTGAAGTCCTCCTGTAAGCACAGAAAGGCATCCTAGCAGCAGACCAAAAGCATCAATATATGTCTACAACATTTCCGCAAGACATGTCTAAATCAGCATTTCCTCTACCGTGTTTCACATCCAAAAACACAGACACATGCACAGTCTAAGTTCCCACACACAGCTTTAAAAGACCTCATTAAGAGTAAGCAAATTGTTTCCTTCCCTTTTGCTAAAATGCTTTCTCTTTAATGGTTTTTTAAAAATTCAATTGTAAAACACCTTAACAGATCAACTTCAGTGAAAATCTTTACATGTCAGTACAGCCATTGAAAAGGTTGTTATTCTATGATTTGAATATCACAGAGAAGAATAACAAAAGACTATGAATGATTTTTTTCTCTCATTTGGAAATTATTAGTAGACTTCCCTGTCTGTGTTCCATTGAGAAACGAGAAGAAAATATGAAGTTACAGCGAACCCATATGGCCAGCAGGAAAATCCTATTTAATTGTTTTATTGCCAGAAATGTTAAATCACTTCCTAAGATACAGTTCAAATGAAACACATGGCAGCTATTAACAAAAACCCCTAATGAATTCAAAATATGCTTTTTATGGGAGCTTTCTCATAAGCAAGTCATACATGTTGTTTAAACTGTATATACAAATATGCATTTGGTATTTTAATTCTACAAACATTTGCTGAACACCTACTCTGTACTAGACTATATAGCCAGCTTGCATGGAATGTTTTTTTCCAAGACCAGGAACAGATTTAATACTATGGGACCTCAGGACATCGACCCAAATCTAGCCATTCCTCTTCTCAGAAGTCAAGGGCAAGAAGAATCTCCTGACCAGTGCCTCCTTCCCAAGGGTTTGGTGCCCAAGAAAACCATTCCATTTGCACCTGGGGAGCCTTAATTATCTACAATCTTCCTACTCCTTTTAATGTCACACAAATGATGGTGCTAATCATTGCCATTTAGCATCCACTGCATGAAACTATTCTTTGTCTTTTCATGCATCTTCTTCAATTGAATTGTGAATCCCACTATGAAGAAAACTTTGCTAAGGGTTTTTGTACTTAGGCTTGTAATTAAGAATCAACAAACAGCTTTAATTAATTGAAAACCAAGTGTCAGCATTTTTTAAATCTAATACCTTTCATCCTTGGGAAATTTCACAAATTTAATCAATTCATTCATAAGCCATTTTCTAAAGAGACAATTCTCCCTCAAATTCAAAGAGAAATCAACTGAGGGATATCCAGCTGTCATTACTGTGTGGTTTTACTTTAAAAGAGAAGTTATAAAATTCTGGGTACATTGGAATTTACCTTTCCTTTCTCCACAATTTACTATGGCCGTTGCAGTTTGTTTAATGGAAACGAGCCTTGGTAGCTTAAAGAATCGTGCAGAATGTGGTGAGATTCTAAAGTAATTGGCGTTGGCTACGTGAAGTGTTGGCTTTGGCTATATGAAGGCTACAATATATTTGCTTCATAGTGCAACTCACTGATTAACATTTTTATTAAATATTTACTTATACATACTGTGTTACACACTTTGTAATCGAATAAGATATGGAAAATGCGTGTCACTGTCAATTGTGTTTTGGGGCAAGACATTCAATTTGTCTTAAATGCTTTAGCTATAAGAAGAGAGAGCTTATGTAGATAATTTCTAAATGTCTTGTACAGATATTCTGTGATCTAAGTCAATGTCTTATCATAGGACCTCTCCAACATTTTTCTCCTTCATTTGAAAATATTGTGATTAGTATTTTGAAATTAGTGTTAGTGATCTCCAAGGCCTGCATGTCAGTGGTTTTGTCCTGGCTTCCATTCCCGACTGTGACCTCGCAAAAGTTACTTTACTTTCCAGGACTCCATGGGCTTGTCCTAAGGACTGAGTGAGTTTATGCAGGTAAAAACTTAAACCTGTACCTTGTACATACTAAGAACCTGGTAAGTGTTAGCTATTCTTGTACCGAGGAACTTTCTCCGTGAACATCCTTTAATTGCCTATCACCAACCTTTATAATCTTGTCAATGAAAGAGCTTCTGTTTTGTTGTGTTGTTTGTTTATTTGCTTGTCACAAAAGAAAAAAATTAATTTAAATCCCTGATCTCCAGTCAGGGGGGAAATCCTGGGGCTAGGCTTAAAATATAACACATAGTAGAGATTTAATTCCATTTTTAAATCCTTTCCCAAAAAAGACACATTAAGAGTAAACAAACATCACCCAAACTGCAAGATAACTTTCTTGTAAAGGGAGGAAACAGCTTTTCTGGAGTATAAAATCAGAGAAATTCCTCTTAAAGCGAAGGAATATTCAGATGTCTCTACTATAAATTAAAGGACACTAAGGAAGATGATTGAAGCCTACGCAACCACTTTGATATTCCTGGTCTCTGAGTGGAAACTCTGCCATTTAATCCCCTTTCTCTTCATGGCTGCGTCTTTGCCAGGTTGCAGAGTCAACGTTCACACCTAGAGAACAAGAAGTGAACAATTAAATGTAGATCAAGATTAATTCAAAATATACTTTCACTATAGATCAATCTTGCCAAAACAAAAACCCGCTCTATTTTTTATCCATAGAAAGATTTTTCCCTTATTTGAAAAATTGCATCAATCTCCAAATCCAGTAAATTCCAAAGATGAGGATCTCAGCAGTACATAATCAATATCTCACAAAGATGTAGGTGTCTTGATGTTTGATATTTCTGAAAATGAAGATTGATGCTATTTCCTTAGACTGATCTACAAGAGAGGTACACTTGAGCCTTCATCTCTCTCTCTCTTACACACACACACACACACACACACACTTGCAACAAAATTACTCATTTGAGCCTACTTACCCCAATTCTGAGGACTTTGTGCCCTGAAGAAGGGGAAAGACATCACTTGTAGACATCTTGTGTGGTCAATGGTTCTGGGGTTCCTACCCCACATAGGTTTATATACCCCCAGATAGATTTATAAAAGGCTTCCGGTACAAGTTAAGCCCTTAATGCTAACTGTGTTTTATACGTGAATAACTGAGGTGAATGGGAACCAGAAGTTCAACTTCTTTAATTTGTTTTAGAGCATCCACAAAGAGTAGAATTAGACATTGATACTTTAAAGTCTTCTGAAAACATCTCATTCTGCATTCTATTTTTTAAACAATGAGACTGAAGGGTCGTTCTTGTTGGGAATTGAACTTCTAAACCTCTCACATCAGTAAATTGACCCATTGGCCCAATGCCCACAGTAACAAATAGTAAGAGCGGCTACCTTTTCTGAGGACCTCATAGGCTTTATAGAGGCTACTACAGTCGTACTTGCAGCAACCCTGTGAAGTAGATGTGATTAACTCCATTGTATAAAGGAGGAATCTGAGCCTAGAAGGGACAGGGCTGGATCTAGTAGCTTTCCTGACAGTTCCACAAGTCTCATTTTTCTTTGTTTTTCTTTTCAGCTTTATTGAGATATAATTGACAAATAAATTTGTAAGATATTTAAAGCATACACTGTGGTGACTTGATATACACATACATTGTGAAAGGATTCCCACCATCTAGTTAACAACGCATTCATCACCTCATGTTTATCTTTTTTGTTTTTTGGTGAGAACATTTAAGTTCTCTCTTAGCAAATATCAATTATACAATATGGTGTTATCAATCATAGTCACCATGTTTTACATTAGATCCTCAGACCTTATCCATCTTATAGCTGAAAGTTTGTACCCTTTTACCAACCTCTCCTTATTTCCCCCACCCCCCAGCCCCTGGCAAACACTTTTCTACTCTCTGATTCTATGAGTTTCTTTTATTTTTTATTTTTTAGCTTCCACATATAAATGATAGCATGCAGTATTTGTCTTTCTCTGTCTGGCTTATTTCGCTTAGCATAACGCCCTCAATGTCCACGTTATTGCAAATGGCAGGAATTCCTTCTTTCTCAGGCCTGAATAATATTCCATTATATATATATATATATACCACATCATCTTTACCATTCATTCGTTGATAGATATTTAGGCTGTTACCATATCTTGTCTATTGCAAATAATGCTGCAATGAACATGGGAGTGCAGACATCTCTTTGATATCCCTTTTCATTTCCTTTGGACACTCTATACCCAAAAGTGAGATTGCTGGATCACATGGTAATTCTATTTTTAATGTTTTAAGGAACCTCCATACTATTTTCCACAGTGGCTGCACCAATTACCTTCTCACCAACAGTGCACTAGGGTTCCCTTTTCTCCACATCCTCACCAGCACTTGTTCTCTCTTGTCTTTTTGATGATAGCCATTCTAACAATTGTGAGGTGATCTCTCATTGTGGTTTTGATTTGCATTTCCCTGATGATTATCGATGTTGAGCACCTTTTCATGTGCCTGTTGGGCATTTGAATGTTTTTCTTGGAAAAATGTCCATTCAGATTCTCTGCTCTATCATCTTTCTATTGTCAGAGTCTATTTAATTTTTGCTCCATTTATGGTACTTCGTTTTATTCCTAATAATGTTACGTTTCTTTCTAATAATACCACAATTTTGTGGCTTTTGTTTTCTTTTTCAGGCTGTTCCAGGTATTTCAGAGAAGGAAAAGGCTGGTAAGTTGACATTTGGTTGTGTTTTCCTTCCTATCTATTTTAGAGTAAAATTCCATCGGTATGTAGACGTTTCATGAAATATCTAAAATGTATAAATCTCATCAGTCTCTGGGCAGTTATTGTTGAGCTCCTGAAAAATAAGTTTGTTTTGCTCAAAATGTAAGAAAAAAATGTAATTTTCTAATATAACACAATATTGTGTTAGAATAAGATGTGTGCTTCTTGTAGCCTTACTACAAGTTGTAACTGCAACCACAACTTTTTTCTTGAGGAAAAGAATTAGGTGTTGTTCAACGTACTGGAGAATGGTCTTTGGAAATAAGTTGTTAATAATTATCAAGATTTATTTCTTAATCTTAAGTAGCTTATTTAGTAGTCATGGAAAAAAGTGTACTTGTTTAAAGCTGATGCTATACTATCAAAAATGTAAGTGTAAAGCAATATGAATAAGTGTATTGAAGAAAATATAATAATATGTTTCTATGCTCTGTGCTATGATTATAACTATTTAACAGTATTGTGGAAAAATAGATAAAAACTGAAGAGAAACATGGAAATATGAAAACATTAGACTTGAATTAGTGGGATCATATGCTTTTTAAAAATCTATTGATCTTCTTCAATTTTGTCTTATGTTTTCTGTGTAATAATAATACTTTTTAAAAATCAGATTAAAAGTACACTACCAGGCGTGCACCAATGCACCGCTTCTCCGGCCATGATGAGGCTGCGTTCCACACACAGCAACTAGAAGGATGTGCAGCTATGACATACAACTATCTACTGGGGCTTTGGGGGAAAAATAAATAAATTTTTAAAAAATTTAAAAAAAAAAGTACACTACCAAACTTGAGGCACGTCATTTAGTTCTTAGACATTTGTGATTTTTAAGATCCGTATTAAAAGTTTAGAGTATCATCTAAAAGATGTCACGACTCCAAATGACTTTACACAAAAGCATTAGAGTTTGTCTGATATGATATTTATACTGAGGATGATCTCTTCCTAGTTCAGTGGTTTTATTTTTGCTGCTAGATAGTTTTCACACAAAAGTTTTCATAGTTTATATCCTTCCATGAGCTAAACTTTTCTCTCGTGTTAGGCTGTGTCTGGTTGCTTCACTCTCATATGCTGGGAGGTAACTCTTCAGAATAGAAGGAAAGTATTGAATTGGCATCATGCGTCAGTTGAAGAGAAAAACTGCTCAATTTAACAATGCAGTGGTATTACATGGATTAATAGCAAATACTAAACAAATTCAAATTACAGTTCCAGAGCTCTAATATCTTAAATAGATTGTGTTAGCTATCTAGTTAGGGCAAGAAGTAAATGGTTAAGCAAGCATTTGCATCTCAAAGAAAAAGAAATTTAGCCAAAGTCGTGCTTTATCTTGGCTTGTGACATTTTCTGTAATTCCCAAGATTACCTGCAATTTATATAAAGTATATAACAGAGCAAAGTTGTCATCTTATTCCAGAATATCAGCAAATTCTTTCAGACTCCAAGGAGAAACTTGGATGCAAATCATGACTGGTGGGAAAGGGGAAGAAGGAATGGAAATGCCATTGTTTCAGGGAATGGAGAGGCCAAGAGTTTTCTTTTCCCTCTGCCGCTTAAATGACTGCAGTTTGATAGGGAAAAGCACTTCATTTTATCAAATTTTAAAAGCTATTTTTATTAAGTATCATTTTAAAGATATTTTTATTAAAACAAAGGACTAATTAAACAGAGAATATAAATATAATGCAACCATTACTTTTTATCATAATTCTGGAAAACTTCCTCTTCAACAACAACAAAAAAAAGACATGAAATTAATTGTGACTCTTTATTTAACAGTCTCTCTGGGTCATTTCTATACTGCTGGGGCACAAATGAAAAGAGGTGATGAATTCCATTCAGAAGCTCCTAAGATGATCTGTTAAAACTAGGATCCACCAATTGATATATATGACCTACCCAGGATGCACCTGGATGCCCCATCTCAGATGCTTAACCTAGGGTGGATTGATGTGAGCAGAACCTGGCTTCTGTTTACTAAACCATTAGGATGCCAGAATTTACTCCAGAATAGATTTTGATTTAGATTTCTTGAGAATGTGCTGATTTGTTTACGAGGAAATATCATTTTGTTTGATAATAGAAATACAAGAAAGAAATGATTTTTAAAAATAAATGAATTTACATGTCAAAGGCTTATATTTGACTATTTTATTAATAATGGTAACAGATTTGACAATTCAAAAGAGAACATGATTTATTTCAAAAGATTTAAAGGAACGTAGCAATCTAAGCAATCTAATTCTTGGATTTCTAAGCTTTATTATGCTCTATTTAAAATATTAAAAATATTTTGAGTGTTTTATACACAAATGTGAATCTCTTTATTCCTATCTTTATGAATCTCTATTTTTAAGCTCCACTGGACATAGGAATGGCCATGAAGGCAGAGGACCCACTCAATCTTCTGGGAGTTAATTGAGCTTTTAAATAGGATTAAACTTCAGACCAACCCCTAAGGCCTGTCATTTTTTTTTTTTTCCTGTCTGGCTAAATGAATGTAGCCTATTGTTCCTTATTAAGAAAGTCTATTTTTAATCTGTGTGATTTCTCATCCAAGCCAACTGGAACCAACTCCACTAGGCTTTATGAAGCCCTAAACAAAATCATTTTGAGTACATTCCACTAATAATTCTTGAATTGCACTTGTGTGGTTGCCCCTGTGTGTCCTTTAAGTGACCATCTTCTATTCTGATTCATGTTGCTACATAAATACTGCCTAGGGAAATCCATTCTACTGCTGACTCTCGCCTTGTGATGACAAAAAACTCTAAGGGGAAACAATTTTGAAACAGCTTCCCACTGGTTCATTCATTCCATAAATATTTATTGAACGGCAACATGTACTGGGCATCATATTAGGTTCAATTGAGGAGGCAATTATGAGTAAGGCATGGTCTTGGCCCTGAGGGTACTCAAACCCTAGTTGAGAATATTCCCTTAGGCCAGCATCCTCCTTTTCTTCTTCTCAACTGAGAATTTCTTAGCCTAGCTTATTCAGAAAGCTTCCTAGGAAAAGAATGAAATAAAAATTTTGTTTTCAGGAGATTATCAGAATGTACATTCTCAGGATCTGAAGTAGAGTCCAGACAATTGGTTTTAAAAAAAAATCACAATTGATAACACAAGTATGAATGTTTAATTGTACCCAACACATAATATTTTCATATAACTTCCATTATGTCACCAGAGTCTGTATACCCCTAAAGAGTGGGCCCAATGCCATTGGTTTATTCTCCAGCACATCTGCTTCCTATCTGTGTGGCCTTGAGCAAGTGACTTAAGCTCTTCATTTCCCTCATTTCTAGAGTATAAATAACGAAGCTGCCATGTTGTTGTTGTAAGGCAACAATGCTTGGCACAAAGTAGTCTCTAAAAACTGGTAGCTATTTTTTATGATAATTAGTTGCGCTTATAGCCACCTTGTATACAGGCCAAATAGAAACTAGCTGTGTTACTGCTGGCCATGTCTGCTCCAAGAGTTCTTAAATGCTTCCTCAGGGCACCAATTAACAACTAAGCAGCTGTCCATGTGGAAAAAAGAGATCACTTTCTCCATTAGCTTCTGAGAGAGTTAATTCCCACAGAGGTTATCGCAGCATAGGCGAAGTTGGTTATATTTTAACTTCTCATTAGAAATTCTTGTCTCTATTAGGCTGAAATTCTGTCTTGTGAACAGATAATCTCTGGTTTTCACTGAAGATTAGTCTCTAAGAAATGCCCTATGTCCCATTTCCCTACACTTCCATTATCCCCTGTATCCCTAGTCCCTGGGGTAATTGGATCCTGTCTACTCAGCTCCCAGCCCTCCTCCCTCACCTCCTGCACACAATCCTGTCAATGCTGCCTTCTAGTCAACACTTATCTATTCTCCCCGCCATTGCTTTAATGTAGCCTTCCACTCTCCCCTGGACTTTCCCAACAGCACCCAGAACTGGTTTCCCTGCCTTAACCTGTCATTACACCAGTTCCACTCTTTACCAGTCTCCAGCGTTATCTTTGAAAAGCATCACCTGGTCATATCAGTTCCTGCTTTAACATTTTCTTTGTCTCCCTACTGTCTACAGGATAAGGTCAAACTTCCCCGCTTGACATACTTGGCCATTTGTAACCTGGATGCAGAATAATTTATTCTACTGGATATGTTCATTTTGCCCCTCAGATTCACCCTCCGCCCTGCTTCTCTCCAGCTCTTTGTCCTGGAGGCTGACTGGAGAGGGCAAAATCATTGGCTTCCCTCCTTTCTGTCTTCCCTATTCCACCAGTGAGGACCCCCAGCAGGAGACTGAGGGTGGGGTGGACAGCAGGACTGTGAGGGTGGGTAGTTTATTCCCCCATCTGTCTCCCGAAGGGTCACTGCTGGCTTCTCTTCAGCAGCCCTTTCCACACAAGTGTCCAGGTTCTGACAACCATTATCTCCTCTTGCCAGTGGTTTCCCTACACCTTTATAAACAGTCCTGTTACTAAACTCCCCTCAGTTTACCCAATGTGCCATCTGTTTCCTGTTAGGAGTCTCACTGATTTACCTACCAGTGTTTTCTCTTCTTTCTATTCCTTTATCTTGGTTTGCTGGTCAGCCACCACATCAGCCACAGAACCCCTCCTAACTCTACATCTTTCTACTTCTGCCTAGCAACTGCCTTGTAAAAAATGTAAATGAGGGACCGGCCTCGTGGCGCACGCGCTCCGCTGCCGCAGCCCGGGGTTGGCTGGGTCAGATCCGGGGCGCCGACGCCCGGCTTGGCAAGCCATGCTGTGGTGGCGTCCCATATAAAGTGGAGGAAGATGGGCATGGATGTTAGCCCAGGGCCAGTCTTCCTCGGCAAAAAGAGGAGGATTGGCATCAGATGTTAGCTCAGGGCCGATCTTCCTCACACAAAAAAATATATACATATAAATGATAGGTAGAGACAGAGGACAGAGATAGTGGAAGAATGAGGGAAGTGACTTATTTAGGGAAAAAAAAGATATAGACCATGTTTTTCTTCACCGTAAATGAACATATTTTAATTTCGCAAGGGGGAGAAAAATATCTACCCTTATGATTTAGAATATGTTCTCTGTGGCATAGAAGCATGTAAATTAGAAAATTAGCATTGCATTTTAGTCACTAAAATGTGACTCTCTGAGTATATTTGAAAAGTAGTAATATGGGGTAATATGAAATCTCTCATTCTAAAATTAAAGCACAGAACACCTCGCAAATTTTGTCAGGCGACATGGCAGCCCATGGAAAATAGACCATTACCATTAGCCAAAAATGACAATTTTTTTGTCCTCTATGTCTTGAAAACTCTATTTGTTTTATTAGATCCAACAATATCACCTCCTTAATGAATTATTTCCCAGGAAGAGTTAAGTCATTGATTTTTCTATGCTTCTAGAAAACTATCTATTTTCTATTACAGTCTCATGATCTTGCTTTGTTTGTGTCCTCCTCTGTACGCCATGGAGATTTTCTAGATCACAAATACTGTCTTTGAGTGCCTTGTAACTAAAACAGCTATTAGCACATAGTAGATGTTCTATAAATATGTGTTAACCGATAGATTATAATTACAAAGATGCTTTGGTTTCAATCTTAATGATTTAGAGTTAATATTTATTAAATTATTATTTGTTTTA